CCTATTTCTTTCCTTCACCTTTATGATTCTTCTTCCTCTTTAGATTATTCTTTTGTCACTGTTTCTTATTTTCAGAACAATTTTTTTCTAATGGACATTTTCTTTATTCTTTTTGTGTCTCTTCCGTTCCATTTCCATTTACCAATATTTCCCGCCTTTCAATTATTTAACGTTTACTTCAATGTTTGTTTTTGTTTTGTTTTTTGTTTTTTGCATTTTTTCATTCAATCTCTTCATTCTCTTAGTATTTACCATGGTAATTTCTTCGGTATCTTATATGTTTCTTTCTCGGGTAAATCTTCATCATCATATACTCATCATTATCTTCTTCTTCTTCTTCTTCTTCTTCTTCTTCTTCCTCTTCTTCTTCTTCTTCTTCTTCGTGTTCTTCTTCTTCTTCTTCCTCTTCTTCTTCTTCTTCTTCTTCTTCTTCGTGTTCTTCTTCTTCTTCTTCTTCTTCTTCGTGTTCTTCTTCTTCTTCTTCCCTTCTTCTTCTTCTTCTTCTTCTTCGTGTTCTTCTTCTTCTTCGTGTTCTTCCTCTTCTTCTTCTTCTTCTTCTTCTTCCTCTTCTTCTTCTTCTTCTTCGTGTTCTTCTTCTTCTTCTTCTTCTTCTTCTTATTCTTCTTATTCTTCTTCGTGTTCTTCTTCTTCTTCGTGTTCTTCCTCTTCTTCTTCTTCTTCTTCTTCCTCTTCTTCTTCTTCTTCTTCGTGTTCTTCTTCTTCTTCTTCCTCTTCTTCTTCTTCTTCTTCTTCTTCTTCTTCTTCTTCTTCTTCTTGTTGTTTCTTCTTCTTCGTGTTCTTCCTCTTCTTCTTCTTCTTCCTCTTCTTCTTCTTCTTCTTCGTGTTCTTCTTCTTCTTCGTGTTCTTCCTCTTCTTCTTCTTCTTCTTCTTCGTGTTCTTCTTCTTCTTCTTCTTCTTCCTCTTCTTCTTCTTCTTCTTCTTCGTGTTCTTCTTCTTCTTCGTGTTCTTCCTCTTCTTCTTCTTCTTCCTCTTCTTCTTCTTCTTCTTCGTGTTCTTCTTCTTCTTCTTCTTCCTCTTCTTCTTCTTCTTCTTCGTGTTCTTCTTCTTCTTCGTGTTCTTCCTCTTCTTCTTCTTCTTCTTCTTCTTCTTCCTCTTCTTCTTCTTCTTCGTGTTCTTCTTCTTCTTCTTCTTCCTCTTCTTCTTCTTCTTCTTCTTCGTGTTCTTCTTCTTCTTCGTGTTCTTCCTCTTCTTCTTCTTCTTCTTCGTGTTCTTCTTCTTCTTCCTCTTCTTCTTCCTCTTCTTCTTCTTCTTCTTCATGTTCTTCTTCTTCTTCCTCTTCTTCTTCTTCTTCGTGTTCTTCTTCTTCTTCTTCCTCTTCTTCTTCCTCTTCTTCTTCTTCTTCGTGTTCTTCCTCTTCTTCTTCTTCTTCTTCCTCTTCTTCTTCCTCTTCTTCTTCTTCTTCCTCTTCTTCTTCTTCTTCGTGTTCTTCTTCTTCGTGTTCTTCCTCTTCTTCTTCTTCTTCTTCTTCTTCCTCTTGTTCTTCTTCTTCTTCGTGTTATTCTTCTTCTTCTTCCTCTTCTTCTTCTTCTTGTTCTTCTTCTTCTTCTTCGTGTTCTTCCTCTTCTTCTTCTTCCTCTTCTTCTTCTTCTTCGTGTTCTTCTTCGCGTTCTTCTTCTGCTGCTTGTCGTTCTTTTTCTGTTTGGCGTTCTTCTTCTTCTTCGCATTCTTATTTTTCGCGTTCTTCCTATTCTGGTTCATCTTTTTGTTCTCTTTCTTCTTCAGGCTCTTCGGCTTCTCCTTCTTCTTCTTCTTCTTCTCCTGCATCTTCTGCTGCTGCTTTGCCTTCTACTTTTTTTTCTTCTTCGCATTCTTCTACTTATTTTTTGCGTCCTTCTTCTTCTTCTTCTTCATCATCATTTTCTTCTGTTGCTGCCGCTTGGCGTTCTTCTTCTTTTTTTTCTTCTTCTTCTTCTTCTTTTTTCTTCTTCTTCTTCATCTGCATCATTTTCTTCTGTTGCTGCCGCTTGGCGTTTTTCTTCCTTTTCTTCTTCTTCTTCTTCTTTTTCTTCTTCTTCTTCTTCATCTGCATCGTTTTCTTCTGTTGCTGCCGCTTGGCGTTCTTCTTCTTTTCTTCTTCTTCTTCTTCTTCTTTTTCTTCATCTGCATCATTTTCTTCTGTTGCTGCCGCTTGGCGTTCTTCTTCTTTTTTTCTTCTTCTTCTTCTTCTTCTTTTTTTCTTCTTCTTCTTCTTCTTCATCATTTTCTTCTGTTGCTGCCGCTTGGCGTTCTTCTTCTTTTTCTTCTTCTTCTTCTTCTTCTTTTTTTTCTTCTTCTTCTTCTTCTTCATCATTTCTTCTGTTGTTGCCGCTTGGTTCTTCTTCTTTTTTTTTTTCTTCTTCTTCTTCTTCTTTTTTTCTTCTTCTTCTTCTTCTTCATCATTTTCTTCTGTTGCTGCCGCTTGGCGTTCTTCTTCTTTTTTTTCTTCTTCTTCTTCTTCTTCTTCTTTTTTTCTTCTTCTTCTTCTTCATCATTTTCTTCTGTTGCTGCCGCTTGGCGTTCTTCTTCTTTTTTCTTCTTCTTCTTCTTCTTCTTCTTTTCTTCTTCTTCTTCTTCTTCTTCATCATTTTCTTCTGTTGCTGCCGCTTGGCGTTCTTCTTCTTCTTCTTCTTCTTCTTTTTCGCAATCTTCTTCTGGTTCTTCTTATTCTCTTTCTTTTTCGCGTACTTCTTCTTTTACTACTTCGCCATGTTCTTCTTTTACTTGGCATTCTTCTCCTTCTTCTTCTTGTTCTCCTCTTTCTTAGCGTTCTTATTGTTGACGTTCTCCTCTTCCTCTTCCTCCTTCTTCTTCTTCTTCTTCTTCTTCTTCTTCTTCTTCTCATCCTACTTCTTCTGCTTGCCGTTCTTTTACTTCAGAGTTTTTTCTTCTTTTCCTTCACGTTCTTCTTTTTCTTCCCTGTATTCTTCTTTCTGCGCATATATATATATATATATATATATATATATATATATATATATATATATATATATATATATATATATATATATATATATCACTTTTTCTGTCCGTTCCTATCCTATCTCTTTCTCATCATCTTGAAGCCTTTCGTATGTCTTCTTTGCGATATCTACTTAATATTTACATCCTCCATTATATTTTTCTCTTCTTTTCTCATTTCCACGCTCCTCTTCCCCTTTAACATCTTTTCTTTTTCTTATCGCCCCATCCTATTTCTTCATCAGATCGCCATTTTGTTTGTCCTTTTCTTATTTTCTTGTATGTTGTAATGCAAACTACCTTGTTACTACTTCATAAAATCAGAAACCAGACAAGATTGAAGTAAAAAAAAAATGTCTTCATCAAGCAATCTCCAAGATAATCTCTTTTTATCTTGGAGACTTTCGACCTTGTGACCCCCCCATCCCTGCGAAAGTGGCCAAGGAGATCTCGCTCATATTTTCGGCTTTGCCTTCTTCTCTTTGTCCCCTTCACGTACATTCTTTTCAGCCATAATTTATTATCCCTTTGAAAACATTTTTTTTTTCTAAAGATTTTTTTTTGTTTATACTTTGGATGTTTGACATTCGTTTGGACTCGATTCGTATTTCTCCTCATAAAAAAAATTTGCTAGATCCGTCATCACCATCTTTTTTTTTCTTTCTTTCTAAGATTCGTTTTCTTTGATGATATCTGCGACAAGTTGAGAACTTTCTATCTCCTTATATATTTCCTTTTATTTGTTCTTTCTCTCTTTCCCTGTTACCCAGAGTCTGTCTACGTCTTCTTTTCTTTGTTCATTTTACCTCATATTATCTTTCTTGTTTTTATTTCTATTTTCGGGATACTTCCGGCCCCACTCTCCCTATCTCTCTCTCTCTCTCTCTCTCTCTCTCTCTCTCTCTCTTTCTCTCAATCACTCACTATCCTTCACAGCATGATTTTATCATTGTAAATTCTATTCTTTATTTTCATTCTTCTAACATTTGTGTTAATTTTTTTCATTCATTTTTCCTCGTTATTTCACTTGTGCTTTTTTCTTCCTTTCCATTTTTTCTTTCTTTCTTTGCACTTTCTTAATATCTCAGTATTTAATGGTTGTTTTTCTTTGGCCTTCTTTCTCCCACGTTCTTTCATTCTGTTTTATCGTTTTCTTTTTTCTTTCTTTCACTCTGTCTTCTTTTCTTTCTTTCTTTTCATTAAATAATTTATTTCATTTCTTGTATATATATGCATATATTTATATATTTATATATATATGTATATATATATATATATATATATATATATATATATATATATATATATATATATATATAGATGTATATATATATATATATATATATATATGTGTGTGTGTATGTATGTGTGTGTGTGAATATACATATATATATATATATATATATGTAATTTTTCCCCTGTATTCGTTATCATTAATATTAATTAAATTTACAGGGTTTTTTTTACATCTCAGAAATAAACTTGATAAGGCTGGGACGAAACTTTTTTTTTTTAAATTTTAAAAAGTGCCATATAAATTTTGTACCATAAATTTTTTTTTTTAAATATATATATATATATATATATATATATATATATATATATATATATATATATATATATGACGTTAGGCACCGCATAATGGAATTACTCTGACAATTATTTTAATATAACTTATTGTTATACGTTATTTATATAGACACAAAAATTAAGTAAGTGCTATGCTTATAATAAACAGTATTAACGACATTTACCGGCTTAATTTGTACGAGAAATTGTCATAGAAAATATTCGTCCTCTGACAGGAATCGAATTGGTACTCAGAACCGTTATATAACCTGATGTGCTATACAAGTTTAGCTACGAAGTTGCGTCTGATTAGTAACGTCGATTTTGCTGCGTTTTTTTTTGGGGGGGGGGTATATTTCTTAATTTCTTTTCTTTTATAAATTTACTATCTTCCTACGTTTTTCTTTTGTGTCATTACTTGCTATATTCTTGATTGGAAATAAATTCTGTTTTATTTACTCTTTTTCATTTCAATGGGTTTTTGATTTTGATTTTCAACGTTGTATTTTTTTTTCGATTTTAAATTTTTTCAAGCTTCTTTCTTTATAACTTCATTGCTTACATTCTCTCCTACATTCTTTTTTCTTCTTTTTTTCACGCTGTTTCTTTCTTCTTTCTTTCACGCTGTTTCTTTCTTTCTTTCTTTCTTTCTTTCTTTCTTTCATGCTGTTTCTTTCTTCTTTCTTTCACGCTCTTTCTTTCTTTCTTTCTTTAACGCTGTGTCTATCTTCTTTCTTTCTTTCATGCCGTTTCTTTCTTCTTTCTTTCACGCTGTTTCTTTCTTTCTTTCACGCTGTTTCTTTCTTTCTTGCTTTCACGCTGTTTCTTTATTCTTTCTTTCACGCTGTTTCCTTCGTCTTTTTTTCACGCTGTTTCTTTATTCTGTCTTTCACGGCGTTTCTTTCTTTCACAGTGTTTGTTTCTTCTTTACGATACTTTTCTTTCATGTTTATTCTTATTCCCATATGCTTTATTTTTTGTATTTTTTTAAAAGCAATTCATCTAAAGCAAGGTGGGCGTGTCACTAGCACGCAAGGAGTTACAGAGGATTGAGAACAAGAGTAAAGAGGCATGTTTGGGGGAAGAATATAGAGAAGGACAGGGAACAAGCTCAGGGTGTTGACATTACACTTGAATATTTGAGGATTATAATCATTGGGGAAGCATGTAAGTGGAAGGGAGTTCCACAGACGGGAAGTGCAAGAGAAGAAGCTGTTTGAGTAGAAGATACGGTTACATTTAACCGTTTCGACAGTGAAAGGGTGGGACGGAGATGCCAACTTGGTGGCTCGCTTAAATTCATGCAGTCCGGGAACCGGCGAAGGTAGCTCGTCGGTGCAGTTGCCGTGTAAATACTTGTAGAAGAGACAGAGGAGCACGTCTGTGGGATAGCGATTGTAGACTACATGCCAGATCTGGACCTATCATCTTGTATATTCTTCTCTGGATTTTGTCGAAGACCTCGAGACGTACAGCCTGAGCACCAGACCATGTATGACAGCAATATTCCATACAAGAACCGATGGTTGATGCATAGATTTGAAAGATGCTCAGACGAGAAAAAATTTCTGGCAGGACACAGAGAACCAATTTTCCTTGCGGAAGATGAAGCTATTGATTCAATGTATTTATTCCACCTCATGTCAGTGGACAGTGTGAGACTAAGCAGGCGTAACGAGCCGCTCTCAAGATGTTTGGAATCAGCCATTCTGATGGGAGGCAGGGAGGTTTCTGTGTTGGGCAAAGGAGAGCGGGTTTTTTTTTCGAGGCATTAAAGTTTACAAGTTGTTTCAATTATTTCTTAATTTTTTACTTACTTTCTGATGACTCTTTCTTTGTTATTGTTTCCATTGTTTTGCACTTACAAACACTTATTATATTTTTTTATTACCATCATCGAATACAAAAAAAATGCTACTAAAAAACAAAAAAATATGACGCTCGTAAAATTCCCTGCAATGAAATGATTAACAAATGTTGGATTCGGTTTTCTCCGCCCTCAATCTCTCGTTCGTAAACGGTTAAATCAGCTGGTGTGTTTTCCAGTCTTCCCAATAGCGAACGGGACGGGTATTTAGATTTCAAGGAAGCCTTACCATTTATCTGCGGACGATGGAATAAAACTGAACGTCTGTGGAAAATGGCGATATATAATGCTACTAATGACTAAGATGGAAAGTAATGCTTCTCTTATGTGCTGTGTCCCTCCAGGAGATGGACGATCAAAGCTCTCACCAACGTCCAGTCTTCCATAATACTTTTACCAACGTTAGACATTTAGCAATCCTTCCACCTACCCCCATTCCACAATCTAATCCCACAAGCTCGAAACGTAGGTGATCGATGACTTCTTTTCTCCATTTTGCATTCGATATTCTTCAGATGAACTCTTCGGTATTGTGTCTAGACGTTTTGAATTTTAGCGTACGACTAGTACTTGTGGAACTCCCTTCCGACTCCATGCTTCCCCGCCAATTTTCATCAGAAAAATGTAATTGCAGTGACAATCTCTATCGACTATTCTCCCGATTAATCTTTTCTCTCCTTGCTCATTAATGCTTCTGTTACTAATTCTTCCACACCCTGTAACCTCTTGCTCTTGAGTGGCTTTACTCCCTTGGTTGGGGCTATACCGTTTAAAAAAACTATCTATCTTTTCATATCTATCTATCTATCTATCTATCTATCTATCTATCTATCTCGTTATGTTCATATCTATCTATCTGTCTCGGTGTGTTCAGATCTATCTATCTATCTATCTATATCATTGTTTTCATATCTATCTATCTGTCTCGGTGTGTTAAAATCTATCTATCTATCTATCTATCTATCTATCTATCTATCTCGTTATGTTCATATCTATCTATCTATCTATTTATCTATCTATCTATCTCCTTCTGTTTACATAAAAAAAGTAAAAAAGTTTGAAATCTCATATTGAATATTTTCAAAACATGAAATTTTCAAATGCCCCTGCTATTTACCTTGAGCACTTTGATAAAATCCAAAGAAGAATCAGCAATATTATTGGTCCTGATCTGGCAGTTCGTCTTCAGTCACTCTCCCACCGCCGTAAGGTTGCCTCCCTGCGTCTTTTCTATAAATACTTTCATAGTCATTGTTCGGATGACCTCTTTGCTAAGGTACTTAGACTTTTTTTTAATTTAAGCCCAGTACTAGACTGACGTCGAGATCTCATCAGTTTACAGTTGGCTAGCTGAAACCGTAAATTCTATGCTAACTGTTTCTTTCCTCGCACTTCTCGCTCGTGGAACTCCCTTCCGGCTCGATGCATTCCAGCTAATTTTAATCCTCAAAAATTTAAATGCAATGTCAATCGCTATCAAACGTCGTCCCGTTCATTACTAATGTTTCTGTTTTCTAATTTTTCCAAACCTAGTAAGTCCTTGGGACTTAGTGGCTTTACTTGCTTTGCTTGGAATGGAATCCATTTAAAAATGTCCTATGAATGTCAAATTTTCCAAGCCCACTTTCCTTAAGAGGTGTCCCAGAAACTTCACCTGCTTCTTTCTGTTTCTTCTTCCATCTTGTCCCTTTTTTTCTATAAAAAATTATTTCTTGCTTAATCCTTTCAACCCCGTGTTTCTGAACAATTTTAACCCTTCTGCCTGAGCTCGTGAGTCAAAAAGAATATCAATTACTTGCTGCGCTGTGTAGAGTTGTTTTCTCGAACGTTTTGTCCCTGATTACTTCTTTGACGGTCCGGGTTGAGACACTGAACGCTTCATGGTAACAACGATCATTTTTACCCCCAAAAATCACAATGAAAAGGTGCAATATCAATCTTTTTCTACTGACTTCTTGATCCCTTTATTTTTGTTTTCGCTCCTTAACCATATACGTTCCTGAAAAATTTTAATCTTTCTTCCTGAGCTCCTGAGTCAAACTTCGCAAATAATTGGTATGTAATGTTTTGCAGTAGATATAAAAATAATTATAAAAGTATAACTTCCTGACTGCTTCCTTTACGGTCCAGGTTGAAAATCTGCACTCTTCATGGTAAAAACATGGCGGGTGTGGTTACTGTTTCTCGACTGAATTCCTTTCACGGTAAAAACGATCATGTTTTATCCAAAACATATGCACAAAACACAATGAAAAGACGCAGACATGTTGGTATAACGTTCGATGACATCAGAATATTACGGCTTTTCTGATTGGCTCTTCAAATATAGCAAAACACGACGCAAGTGTTTACCCACCGTTCAGCTGGTGGCAGGGCATTGAGTCATTTTTCTCACCATTGTTCAACCGGTGGCTGGGCATTACGTCATTTTTGTCTGCCATCGTTAAAGCGGTAATCAGGGGTCAAAATCCACTGTTAAGCCTTTGAGCCCTGCGTTCCTGAACAGTTTTAACCCTTCTGCCTGAGCTCTTCAGTTGCGCTGTGTAGAGTCCTTTTCTCGCACGTTTTGTTCCTGATTGCTTCCCTGACGGTCTAGGTTGAGACTCTGCACGCTTCATGATAAAAACGATCATTTTTATCCCAAAAAACAAAATGAAATGGCGCTGAAATGTTGGTGTAAGTTTTGATGACATCAGAATATTATGGCTTTTCTGATTGGATCTTCAGAATAAGACAACCAATAGCAAGTGTATACACACCGGCCAACCGGTGGCTCGGCATTAAATCATTTTTCTCTACAACTGTTCAAACGGTGGCTGGGCATTACGCCATTTTTCTCTACCATCGGTAAAGCGGTGGTCAGGACTCAATGGGTTAAACGTCTCTGTTCATTGTAATCTCAGCATCCTTCTCTGGTTCCAGATTTCTCTTGCTTTCGTTTATAAGAAGATTGTTCAGAATGGCCGGCCGTATAGAAAGATTTATATTACGTAACAGTGTACTCTTCCTTCCAAAGTCTATAACGAAGTTTTTCTGGTTTTTCGTACTTTTCTTAAGTTTCAGAAGGCACCTTTTGCGATTCTTATGCACCTTTGCATTTCAGAGACGCATTTTTCAGATTCAATTTAAACTTCTATTTGAACTTCTATTGAAGCTTTCTATTTAAACTTTATTTAAGCAATCTATTTAAACTTCAACTGAAACTTCTATTTAAATTTTCTTTTTAAACTTCTATTTAAACTTCGATTTAAACTTTCTATTACACTGCTATTTAAACTTTATTTAAGCATTATATTTAAACTTCAATTTAAACTTCTATTTGCATTTTCTATTTAAACTTCTATTTAAAATTCTGGTTAAACTTCTATTTAAATTTCAATTTAAACTTTATTTAAATTTTTTGTTTAAACTTCTACTTAAACTTCCTATTATACTTCTTTTTAAACCTCTGTTTAAGCATTCTATTTAAACTTCTATTTAAACTTCAATTTAAACTTAAAATGAGACTTTCTATATAAACATCTATTTAAACTTCTATTAACCTTTCTCTTTAAACTTCTATTTGTGCTCTCTTTTTAAACTTTGTATTTAAAATTGTATTTAAAATTCTATTTAAACTTTTATTTGAAATTTCTATTTAAACTTCTATTTAAAATTCTAGAAAATTTTATTTAGCTTCTATTTAGAATTCTACTAAAACTTCTATTTAAACTTTCTATTTAAAATTGTATTTACACTTCTCTTGAAACTTTTTACTTAAACTTCTATTTAACTTTTGTTTAAACTTTCGACTTAAACTTACTATTTAATGTTTCTATTTAAATTTTATATTTGAAATTCCATTTAAACTTTCTATTTTAAATTCTATTCAAAATTTCTATTTAAACTTCTATTTCAAATTCTATTTATACTTTCTATTTACACATCTGTTTAAACTTCTATTTAGAATTCTATTAAAACGTCTACTGAATCTTTTTATTTAAACTTCTTTTTAAACTTTCTATTTACACTTCTATTTAGACTTCTATTAAAACTTTCTATTTTTATGTAAAATTCTACCAAAGCTTTCTAATTAAACTTCCGTTTAGACTTCTATTTTAACTTCTATTTAAGCTTTCTAATTAAAATCCTATTTAACATTTCTATTTAAACTTATATTTAAACTTATATTTAATCTTTCTTTTAAACTTTTCTATTTAAACTTATACACATGTTTGATGCTGATACCAAGAATTTTAGTTCGTATTATTAATAAAAAAACTAATCATGCAGTAAAATAATATTAATATTATCGTTTTTAATTTTTTTCATTCTTCTGTTTGTCTTTCTTTCTTCCGAACAATTAATTTCAGTCATTCGTTGTTCCTTCTTACTTTTGTTTTTAATATTAATATTTGTATTTCCTTATAAAATTCTTTCTAACAATAGCTTTCTTCCCTTCCTTCGGTTTTATTCATTAATTTATTCCTTCATTAATTATTTCTTTCTGGAAATTTATTCATTAATATTTTCATGTATTTGTTAAATTCTCATGGTTCAAACGATAGCTGTCTTTCTTTCCTTTCAATTGCTTTCATTCATTTATTCATTATCTATATATAAAATTCTTTGACTTCCGTTAGTCCGTTCATCACATCCTCTAAAATAGCCACACATTGACCGATCGAAATCATATTTGGGGCATAGATGCAAACAGTTAAGGGATTACAAAGTATAGTTGTTTTTTTCTAAGGTGAGTAGCTTAGTAGAATAAATGTTCATTTATTTTTTATTGATAAATTATTTTTTTTATTTTTGAACGTGCAAAATACTTCCTCTATTTTAAAAACAAATTAAATGATTTCAATAACAAATACTAGCATAAAAAAATGCAGTATTGGTTTTTACATACATTTTAATTTTTTATATATACAAGAAATCAATTTCTATTTAGTTCAACTTTTGTGAGAACTATAAACAAATCACAACCTCAAACGTTTCAAAATGTTAGAATTTGGCACCAGAAAGAATTATTTACGCATGGCCAGTTGTATGTTGCATGCTCAAAATTAAGAAATCCTAAGAATTTATTCTTCGCTGTGAAAAATGCAAAAAATAAATTTTCTTAAAAAAAAAATCATTTACACTGAATTCCTATAAAATTAAATTTATTAAAGAAAGTATTAAACCGCGAAGCAGGGATTTTGTCAAAGTACTTTTCCAAACAAATCAACTTATTCAAATTTCATCGAGTGGTTTGCGAAATTGAACGAGGCAGAGTTTACAAATCTCGACAAAAATGTAAGCGATAACTTCAACAATACTAAATAATGTGACGATTTCAACACAAGTTGCCAAAAAATTATAACAATTATAAATTATATTTTTGGAAACAAAAATTTCAGTGAAATATGTTAGAAAATTTTAAAGCTTTCATATGAAATCACAAAAACTTTAAAATGTTCAAAATATATCTTTTTTGTTTCCATTTTCATTTTCAACTATATATTTAGCAATTATCTGTATATAAAATGATGTGACTTCCTCTACTCCTTCCGTCCGTCACACCCTCTGAAATAGCCATACATTGACAGATCGAAACCAAAATTTGTGAAGTTCTGACAGGTAAGGGAAGGGGTGAAAAATATAGTTGGTTTTACTAGGGTGCGTAAAAACCGCGAAATAAAGTTTTTGCCAAAGTAATTTTACAAACAAATCAGCTTATTCTTCGATTTCATCGATTAGTTTGCGAAATTGGACGAAACGTAGAGTTGGTAAATATCAATAAAAAAATGTTACCGATAACTTCTTTAAAACTAAATACTATGAGGATTTCAATAGGAGTTAGCATGTTGCAAATAACCCCAGTATGATAAAATTGGATCTTTCTGGGTAAGTGAAAACAGGTCAGGGGGTACAAATTACCGTTGGTTTTATTTGAGCGAACGGTAGACTTTGTAAATCTTGACAAAAATGTTAGCGATAACTTCAACAATACTAAATACTTTGAGCATTTTAGCAGGCATTAGTGTGTTGCAAATGATCCTAGTATGATAAAAATTGGATCTTTCTGGGTAAGTGCAAACAGGTAATGGGGGTGAAAATTACAGGCATGTTTCAAAAAAATCTACTTTATAATATTCTCCTTGTTAAATTATTTTCTTCTCATTTTTTTTTAATTAATTCGTCCCAAACAAGGTGATAATGCCCCTCAGGCACAAGGGGATATTAGGAGTGAAAGAGAATGAGAAGACTTTAGAATGAATCGGAAACCCAATCTTAAAATGGAAAGAATGGGTTTACCTATACACCTGTTCCTGGGAGGAGTATGAACCGGAAGTTAGGTGAGCTTATCTTCTATTTTTTTAACCTTCTTGAATACTGATTATTGCCTTTAATCCATTCTTTCTCAGGCTTCGTTCATGTTTTCTTTCTCTCTCATAGACTTTTCATTTAATTCTAATGCCGTTTATTTTTTCTTTCCTTTAAGCGTTTGTCCTTTCTGTCTTTGTCTTTTTAATTTATTTTTTTCGTTTTTCTTCTTTCTATTTATTTTTATATCTTTCTTATTTTGTATCGTTTGTCTTATCTTATGTCAGATCATTCACGATTTAGTTTTTTACCAAATTACAAACAAATACCGCTTTCTTTTCTTTCTCTCAAATTTGCTATTAATGCAGAGATTCAAACTAATTCTTTATTCGGATTCACAATTAACGTGTTGATTCCAACGTAGCTTTTATCGACATATTTGTTCTTAAGCGTATCACGTACTTGATCTTTGATAGATAAGCACTTCAAAAGCATGGCGTAATGATTTTGATCTGCGTGTCTAGCAAGGGTGAAGAGGAAGGTGACGAATGTAAGAAAGAAAAAGAAAAAGAAAAAAATATAACGATGTAGCCAGAGCAGCTGAAAACCGATTCCTGTTTCACTCTCGATCTATCAATCGTTGGGTATTTTGATCGAGGTCTCTTGAAAATGGTCATTATATATTTGGTATTCATTGACCTACCGGCCAATAGCGCTTTCAGTTGAAATTTATAAAATCTTTCCCATAAAAAAACGTTTTAGAAAAACAGGTTTTTCAAGTCCAGTAGCTGTTATCGCTCTTTCCGGTATTAATGAGGTTTTCTTTCCTAGACTTTTATTTGAAATGTCTGGAATGTCAACATCTTGAATATGTCATTCTTTTCCTTTAAGTTACATGTGATATCGATTTTAGTTGTTGCAGTTGTGGATAGTCCATTAGTGATATGGTTACCGCTATTTGGAACAGTTTTCTCCTTGCGATTCTGTAGCGCCATATTCAAAGAAGAATGTGAAGACTTCCAGGCTTCATTCACTCAAAGCTATTTAGTAAGTGTTAATATATATATATATATATATATATATATATATATATATATATATAACCTAGTAATACCCTTCTATTTCAAATAAAAATTATTTTTTATTATGTATAGTTTTAGGTCCGTCTATTTTTATATATATATATATATATATATATATATATATATATATATATATATATATATATATATGTGTGTGTGTGTGTGTGTGTGTGTGTGTGTGTGTTGTAACATATCTACGGACGATAATGTACACCAGCATTCCCATAAATACTGTAGTGAATACTGTACGTCGTCCAGAGTTGGAGATTCGTCTCCACATTAAAATCGGCCTTTTGCCACATCTGACCGCTTGGGGCGGTTGGTAGATATCCTAAAGTTGAAGATTCGTCTCCAGCTGGTTGTTTCAAAACTCTGCCCAGAGGCAGAGAGGATCCCCTGACGTGGTTATGTCGAGGGGCAGAGCCTCGTCTCGGGAAACAGCTACCCGACCCCGTTTTATACGGGATCTACGGGGAATTTTTAGCCGAGCCTACGGGCTCGGATACCCCACATTAAATTCACCATTGTGCCACATCTGACCGCGTGGGGTGATTGGTAGATATTCTAGAGTTGGAGATTCGTCTCCAGCTGGGCTGGTCAAATTCTCTGCCTCCGTGCAAAGAGGATCCATAGACGAGGCTTTGTCGAAGGGCAGAGTCTCGTCCTGGAAAACAGCAACCCGACTCCGTTTTATACGGAGTCTACTTGGAATTTTTGGCCGAGCCTACGGGCTGGGATACCCCACATTAAATTCGCCCTTGTGCTACATCTGACCGCGTGGGGTAGTTGGTGGATATCCTAGAGTTGGAAATTCGTGGGCTGGTAAAACTCTCTGACTCCCAGATGAGGCCATCACGTATGGCATATAACTAACTGAAATTCACTTAGGTGCTAAATACCCTTGGGAAAAGTATGCATCCTCCCTCCAGCTATGGGTAAATAGCAGGGTAGACCGGGTTCTATAGCCTTGGATGGCAACTGGTCTACCGCAGAAACAAATGGCTACCTACTGCGGGATAAATGATACATGATCGCCTAAGCGTGGATCCCGCATGGCATATAACTGACTGATTATGAATTTTAAAAAAAAACCGACAACACCTGGTAATGCGCAAAATGCATTTCCCATCAAACATTTTACGAGTGGAGCGTCATTTTATGTAAAGCCAATCAGCATTCCCCGTTGATACTACTTGAAACGGATATAAACCGGACATGTCTAGCTTTTAACTTAAGTGTAAAATTGAATCTCTATATCCTGTTTAACTTTAACGTAAACCAGAACTACGTCTAACTATCTATTAATTGACTGACATCTTTGCCCTAACAGACTTATTATATCCGATATTAAATAACCCAGCAATGGCTGATATGTCGGTTAATTAACCAACGAGCCTACTAATCAATTTGGGGAATGAAATTTCTTTCTTTAAAATTTCTCTTTCAATGCTCCCTTCTTAATAAAAAAAAAGTAGCATGATGATCAGGGACTTCCGATAAAAGCAGCCGGAATTTCGATAGACGAAATACTGGTGAAATAAATTAATTATTAACCTATTTAAATAACGCTATAGAATATTCAAAATGACCGTTTTTGTTCAGTTAATTACCAGTTTCCCGCTAAGTGATTTTCCACCAGTTAATTACGCTTTTCCTGCCAAATCCACTGATCGATTTTCCGTACACTGCTGAAAACGCTTAGATGTTGAATCCTAATTTCTAAAGCGGTCAGTCTATCGCCACTTGGATAACTGATGTAAAAGTTTCATTCTACCTTATGGGTTTATACCAAGCTAAGTTCTTTTGTGTGACGTGTCCCTTCGGGCCATGGACTATAATGACTCTCTACAGCATTTTTCTGTCCCTTTTTGTTTTTAGTCTCACCTGAGGATCCTCTCTGTCCGGGGGCAGAGAGTTTGACCAGCACAGCTGGAGACGAATCTCCAACTGCAGAATAACTACCAACCGCCCCACGCGGTCAGATGTGGTGGCACAAGGACGAATTTAATGTGGCGTATCTGAGCCAAAAATTCACCGTAGACCTCGTATAAAACGGGGTTGGGTAGCTGTTTCCCGAGACGAGACTCTGCCCTTCTCCATAGCCTCGTCTGGGGATCCTCTTTGCCCAGAGGCAGAGAGTTTGACCAGTACAGCTGGTGACGAATCTCCAACTGCAGACTAACATACAGTATTTACTACTGTATTGATGTGAATGGAGACATACCTAAACTGCGTCTAGAGATTATATGCAAAAGTGGTATTGTCAAATATTTTATGTAAAATTCATAGATATGTGTTATCCAATGAAATAATTTGTACTATTATGTATAGCGAGTAAGCATGAAAGCAATTAAGTCCCAATTTTCAATTTCAGATTGATATTTAGTATTTTTTCAGTAATTATAGCAATTTGCAGTGTCAAGAGATTATATGCAAGAACTAGAATTTAGTATTATGGCTCGTAAAAAAGAACTAACAATGAATGAAAAGAACCATATAATCAAAGAAATTAAAAAAGGAAAGTCTTCGCTTCAAATTTCTAAGGATTTGAAAAGGGATCATCGAACAATCAAGAAAATATGTCAAATGGGAATTCAACCAAGGAAAAAAGTCTGAGGCTGAATTCAGAAATTTAACAAAGCGAGATCTATCACATATCCGAAGAGAATTAATAAGAAACCCAAATGCGTCAAGTGCGTTCATATTTGAGGCCGCTGGAGTTCCTATAGTGTCAAGGGAAACAAGGTGTAAAGCATTAAGGAAGTTTGCTGATGTAAAAAATCAAATAAAGAAACCCATTTTAAAAATAAAAACATTAGGAAAGAAGATTGCAGTTGGCAAAAAAATACATGAAAACTGAATCAGTAAAGTGCTTTTTACAGACGAATCAAGGATCACCCTCGATGGGCCCGATGGATGGGCTCGAGGATGAGTTTGCAAGCAACATGAATCAGGAAAATTTTAAACACCAACAAGGCGGCGGTGGGATCATGTTATGGCCTGGGATTATTGGTAATGAGCTCGTGGGTCCATTTATACTGAAAGACGGGGTTAAAATGAATTCCAAAAGTTACTGTGATTTTGTAGAGCAATATTTCTTTGAATGGCTTGATAAACAGTCTTTACCCAAGCGTAGATCTATGATCTTTACGCAAGACAAAGCACCAAGTCATGCATCAAAGTTTACTAAATCCTGGTTGAAAGAAAAGGGATTTGTTGAAGATTCTCTTATGGACTGGCCTTCAAATAGCTGTGACTTAAATCCCATTGAGAACCTGTGGAGCTTCCTCAATAACTATATTTATTCTAATGGAACGCAATTCAACAGCAAGTGTGACCTCTGGGAAGCAGTTAAAATTGCTGCAAACAACTTACCAGCCGCTAAAATTGCAAATCTAACATCAGATGTTGACAATAGGCTGCTAAGAGTTATTGAATAGAAAGGAGCATTTGTGCAATAAATTTTAGGAGGTTCTTCTTTTTTGTTAATATATCTTTTATTTTTAAAATAAAATGTTTTTTTTTATGTTTTTCCTTTAAGAAATTGACGAATTTGTTCTAAAATCTTTTCATATTATTATTTACATTAGTTTTACAAGGTATAAAAATGTAGAAGTATCAAAATAAATAGTTGCAAATAAACTACTGACAGTCAAATTAGTCTGTTTTGTTAACTTAGTAAAATTTTCTCCAACCAAAAACAATAGTTTTCTCTATCACTATATATCTAAGTTAATAATATTAAGTAGAATCTAAACAACATCATAATAGGACTTTTAACATTAAAGACGCAACTCTTTATACCAATTCATAACTTGCATATAATCTCTAGTTTATTATCGTCTGTAGGTATCCTACAACACATCTGAAGTCTTTTCATTCTCTTTCACTCGCAGAAGCTTCCTTGCTTCTTAGTGACGTTATCGCCCTGGTTGGGGTGAAATGATTAAAAAAATACCCTTTCGCCCGTTTTAATTAATTATTGTTGTTTTTACTTTTGTTTCTTTCATTTAAAGCTGGAACCGATTAAGTTCTTCCGCCTATTTACATTACGACGACACGGTTCGTAAAGAATGAGTTATTCAATGTAGATATTGGCTAAATAGGGTTTTTTTTTCTCATATCGTCAAGATCGCAATGAACTTGAGCTGTTGATAATTAATTTAAGATTTGTTACAGGAGCCGACTTTATATATAATGACAACATAGACAGGGGAGAAGATCATACAAAAGGCTCGTAAAATATTTCAAACTAAAAAAGGGGAACATTCTGACATAATCAACATTCTATTCATCAAGTCAACCGCAATAAAAACAGAAAAGAATTTGTC